TCTGACACTGTTCCACCCTGGCTGCCGCTTACTCAGAAGCATCCACAGGCTTCCCTCTAATTATCTGCAGCTGGAGAGAGCTGCTTTTGTACTTCAGACCTGTTTCACAGCAGACATCATCTTGGAAGAGGGATCCCTTCTTTGTCACATGCGAGAGAACGCCTCTTTCATGACATTGCTCGCCACCTGTAATTTGATGATCTGAAGCTGCCTTGGCTGAAGACACCATTTTAATAAATGAAAATGTTTTTGACTGAGGAATGTAACTGCTTAGTTGGTGAAACGTTGCATCTGTAATAAATGTCACTTGCATTTATTCTTGTGAATCTGCCATCGGATCACTGTGACAGACCCAGTCACAACAGAGTGACACACCTAATAGAAATGCTAATATCCCTTAATAACTAGAGATGTTTCGCAACAGGGACTAATTGTGAGAAGATGGTCTCCAGAGAGTTCTCTTGTTCAAGGACTCATCAGCTTGGAGGTAATATCCCTCTTCTCAGCTGAGGGAAGAGGGAATATAAATACAGCAGTTTGGAGTCCAAAACAGGCAGAAATGGAGAGTCTTTACATCACCTCAGAAATTCCTCCATCTCAGTCAGTTACCTGTACAGACCAGGCCTCAGAGAAACGAGGTTCCAAGTTGCCCCATTGAAGCTTAATTCACTAAAAAAAATCCTCATACCAGTTGTCCAGACTGTCTTCAGAATCCAAACCCTTCCATACCTTAAAATAGCTATGAACCAGGACAAACTGATAAGGACCACCCACACCCGCTATAATAGTGCCTTTGTACCTCTGATTCCTAGGGTCCTGAGGTCAGCCATGTGGCAAGTGAGCCCCCGTCCTGTTGTATACAACTCTCTTACTGACCTTTATGCCTAGGCATTCCGTGTTACATGTTACATGCAGCCCCTTCTGTCTCGCTTCCCTTCTTCTGAATCTCTAATGCCCACTTTTTCCTGTGATGTCTTTAGTGAAACAAAGCTCCTGAGGTTTCACTTGTTCACATTGTTTTTCTATCCCCATTTCCTTTGCTTCTCACCCCTCTGTTGAAATGTCCTCAGGGTAGGATCCTAGGTTTTCAGAAATGTCATTCAAGAAGCCACTACGTGTGCTGATGGAGAACGAGTGTGGTCAGAGTGTTGAACGACAAGCTGGAAAGCCCTGGTTCAAACCCCTGCCTGCCGTGAAGCTCTCTGGGTCACAGTGGGCCACCTCTCGCTCTCAGCCTGACCTGCTTCACAAGGTTGTTGTGGGGGTGACATGGAGAAGATGAAAGACATGGATGCTGCCCTGGATTCCTTTGAGGGGATTTGGGACACCTGTTTTTTCACCCACATCCCTGGTGCTCTGTGAGGAGATCACATCTTATATCTTAACAGCACACACACACACGGGATGGAATTTGACCTGTGGCCTCTCTACAATGAAAGACTTGTATGCTAGCAATTCTTCCAGACCTTTGCCTTGGAAACCCACTAGAATTTTGGCCTCTCTGTGAACTTACCTGTTGTTCTTACCTGCTGATGCAGAAGTTGTTATATACATTGGCAAAGCCTGCGCACACATAAACCAGTCAGAGTGGGAGCAGAGTGCAGGTCATCAGTCTCAGATTAACCTGTGAGGGCTGGATAGACCTCCCGTGCTATTGTCATACTTTCCACTGTCCCTCAGGTCCTGACTGGCCCCAGACTGGTCTTTTGAGATGGCAGAAGGCCTATCTGCAGCACTTATCACATCTTCTCTACATTGACCCTGATGAAAAGGGAAAGCAGATGGCTACTATACTGCTGCTTGCTTAGAATATGTTCATGTATGTTTACTTGCAGGGGCATCTTCAGTTGGGATGGCAGGGTCTCCATACGTGCTCTCTTGTAAGATCTGCCTTGCTGGATAACACAAGGGTCCAGCTTGATTGCCCTGGGAATCCCACAGGAAGGTAAAGGACCTCTTCTCTTAGGTGCCCCAGGATTTGGTATGCAGAACTCTAGGGCCTCTGAATACAGATGCTCTATTTAGTCATTATGGCTTGCAGCCACTGACAGAATTATCTTCCTTCAGTTTGCCCAAAACATCCTTTCCAAGCCACCTAAACAAATGATCATCGCTACATCTTGTCACAGCGAGTTCCAACGTTCAACAAGTGTATGCTGTGAACTTTGAGAGCTTGAAGTCAGAGCATGAGAGGACACAGCAGCTGTTTAATCTTTATGGGAAATCACTCTGGTGGTACCTTCATTCACCCTTTCCTCTTGCTTCTTTACAACAAGCAGGGTATAGGGTAGGGCAAATGAATCCTTGGAGCAGTAGGGCGACCACAGCAGATTCTCTGATAGAGTTATCAATCTGATACATTCCACTTCAGATATTACACTGACATAGGGTGGATGCAGATAACTATTACCCAAAGGCAACTTTTAAATGTTCATATAACCACTTGCTAAGTTGCTTGCATACAAGCCACCATTAAGGGTTTTTGAGATGCTCACATCTTAAGATGCACGTCACTATTGAAGTATTATGTAATGGCATCACTTGTTCACTGGGCTTGGGCACCATTCCTGCCAGTGAGCTAGGAGTGAAATTGTTGATAAAATGCCATGGACCCAGCCGCGCAAGTGATGATGTGGCAAGATTATCTTAAAAGCTGGAGCAATAAGAAGAGGAAGTCCAGTTGATATCATTTAAATGATACCACGCTGTATGCAGAACAAGGGTGGATCTCTGTGCTCCTTGCTGTTGGGAGTCAGCATTGCCAACCATGTGACCAAAAGAGAACTGAGATGCAAGCAGACTGGATCTATGGGAAGGCCAAATGTCAATCAGGATCAGCTTCCCTTCCTGCACGCCCACAAGTCTGCAGCCAGAAGAATGAGAAATGTTGTGAAGGAAAGAATTTGGAACACCCCTGGATATAATGTGAATCACACAGACTGTCATGATCACCTCTTCAACCTGCAGACCAGCCCAAGAAAAGATCATTGCTGCAAAGATGGGAAATCCTAAGAGAAGGCAATCTGGATTTAATGCCATCTCTAGCCAAGGGGTCTCCAACACGGTGCCGGTGGGTGCCATGGTGCCCACCAACACCTTTCCTGGCTCTTGCCAAGTGTCTTTAGAAAAAATGTTTCTTTGGCAGCATCTTTCACTACAGAAGAAGAGATTGGATTTATACCCTGTCCTTCATTCGGAGTCTCAGAGCAGTTTACAATCTCCTTTCCTTCCTCTCCACAACAGACACCCTGTGAGATAGGTGGGGCTAAGAGAGCTCTTTCGAGAACTGCTCTTGAGAGAACAGCTCTGAGCGAACTGTGACTGACCCAAGGTCAACCAGCTGGCTGCATATGGAGGAGTGGGGAGGTCAAACCTGGTTCTCCCAGATTAGTCTGGACTCCTACCACTACACCGAACCAAGCACAAAGGTCTTCACTGTGTGACTGAAAATAAGCCGCAGCAGCCATTTTATGGTTGGCTCTGCCTCCGGTGGCAGCCACTTTGTGACAGTCATTTCATGGTTACGCCTACCATGCTGTGTCAGAATTCCAAAGGGGCCCACAAGCTCAAAAAGGGCTGGGGACCCCTGCCCTTAGCTTGTCCTCCCAACTGTTCTATCTCCTGCTCAGACAACTGGGGATTAAGTCTTTTGGGAGTGAGGTTCTTATGAGAGGGCCCACAAAACATGAATCTGGAGTCAGTTCTGAATCAATCCCCCAAATCTGAGCAGTTTGCAGGGTCAGCCCAAGATATGTTGGTGTCTTAATCAGAGTTACTGGCCGTTGACTTCAATGGACTCTGTTTAGGAACACACTGTGAGTGGCACCCCCAAACTAATGGATCAAGGCCATGACCCAATGGGAATTTCTCCCGCACAGAAGCTGCACTACAATTTGGCATGCTCTCCTCGTTTTACAAGTATGAAAACGTCCCAGCAGATGGTGCTTGTGGCCCAACCTGTCTTTAAGCCTTCTGCTTTCAAAGGCACACATTCTGATCCTTTGCTCTTACTCACTGGTGCTCAGTATCGGTTGAGGCACATCTGTCAGTTTCCCCACTTCTAGTTTTAGTGGGTGTGCCATCCCCAACGCGTGATGTACATTCAAGTGCACGTGCTTTTCACCTTGTATACCTTGTGAAAACACACTGAAGGTTAGACAGGAACGACAAACTGGTCAGTGTTACATACTTAATCTTGTAATGTGTGAAATGGCCCTGAATGCGAGGAACCCCAATTTTAGGGATAGACGGGCTCGCTTCCATTCTGAAAATATGGTCTCCTGGGCTTTTTTGGGGGGGAGGGTGGTGGTGGACACAATCGGAATGACCTGCACTGAAGGTTCTTATCCAATCATAATAGCAATAAATATGGTGCAGGAGCTGAGCTGAGTACAGCGAAACAGTCCACGACACAGCTCAGTAGCTTTGCAAACAGATTAATGAGCACGTCTTCCTCTTTGGGATCTTCATCAATTGGCTGGTTAGGAGTGGAGGCAGGGAGAGGGAGCTTGCTTTCCCCCAAAACAAACTGTGAAGGCAAGCTGCTGGAGGCCAGGATGCAGTACCAATAAGAAAGTGGTTGAAGTGGTTCCCTCCTGTCTTTTGCTTGTAGCCCCTCTGAAAGGCACAGTACCAGTAAGAAATGTAAGTTGCTTCCACCCCTGCTCAAAACTCCCACTGCCCAAAGCTCTGGAAAGGCATACTCCACTATGTACAGTGATGCTCTCAGACTAGGGCAGCATGGTCATATCAGGTAGTGTTCCTGAGCTCAGGATCCCCGAGGATCTGACCTGGGGACTTTAGACCCAAGCCCTGCCAATCCAATGGCTCTCATTTAGTCACAAGTGCTGATTTGGCGCACCTCTAGCCCCACCTGAGCCCGGAAGGCCTCAGAGCACCCGGTCCCCAATACCCTGCCAGGCGAGACCACAGCCTTCGATCATGAAGTTCGAGCTCCTGACAGACACAAAGAGAGACTGAACGCAGGCATGAATGAGCCTTATCACTTCTTTTATTGTTGTTGGGGAGGGGAGGGGAGGGGGGGTTAAAGGTGCTATGTGGGATGAAGCAGAAAGGCATTGGTATCAGCAAGAAAAAGAGAGGGGCTGGGGGCAGAGAGAGAATCTAGCATGGATAGACAGATGGTGCACGGAGAGACAGACACTCTGGGGTGAACGGGACACGGGGAGCAGAACAGGTGGAGGGAGGGGGACAGGTCGGTTGGTGGTCTGAGGTAACACGGGGGCAGGCCTGGCGTGATTCATGCCAGCAGGGAGTGGGGAGGTGGGTCCCCTTCCCTCCCGCATGCCAGTATCTCTATTGCTCTGAACTTCAGTCACAGTTTTGTAAGGGACACGGGGCAGGGGGAGAATAGTGTGGCCAGCGGGTGGCCATGGCGTGGAAGACCTTCCTCCCTGGGCTTTGGGATTCTGTTCTGGGCCTCGCATTGTTCTGCTCGGGGAGAAGGGAAACTGCAGACCGTGGTGCGCGCGCGTGTGTGAGAGAAACAGCGAGTGAGAGAGAGGGAAAAAACCTCAGTCACTCCATTAATCAACACACAAATGAACGCACACGCAGAGACACAATCCACCAATGTGAGCCAACTAGGATGTGTGCCAGGGAATTTAACAAGCATCTGGGATTTTACACGGTCCGGAATGGGTTGGGCCTTTGGGGTGAGGGGGCCTGGAGAAGAAGAGGCTGTTTTAAGCTCCAGGAAATGACCTGGCCTCCCAGTTCATGTCCCACCCACTCAAGAAAGGGGCAGAGGGACTGGGGACCCAACTCTAGAAAAGCAGTGGAGGGGAGGGGAGGGGAGATGTTGTGCTACCATGGCAACGGCACAAACTACCCAAAGGAAAGGCCTACAGGCAGAGGGGAGACAGAGGCAAGCATATGCTTATGAGACGGCCCTCCCCTTCTTCACTGAGGGGCTGGGAGGCTACGCTAAACAACCTACGCTCCTGGCCAGGTGACCAGAAACTCCTCCTCAGGAGCAGGGTGAGTCCCATTCTTTAACCCCCCCCCACGCAACCGTGTTCCCATGGGACGCAGTCTTCCAAAGTCAGATAAGGGAGCCTTTGTGGAGCCTCCAGATCTGATCTTTTAAAAAATCGACCTTAAAACCAAAATAACAGTCAATTTAAAAAAAAAAAGTTAAAAGCAAGCAGCCCCGTTTCCCTTGACCTTCCCTTTCATGAAGGGAGGGGGGGCAGAAGTGCTCGATCCAGGTGCAGAGCTCTGAAGAGGAGAAGACGCTGTCTATGCTGGGCTCTTATTATCTGTCTGCCTCTTAGCGCGCGGGGAGGGGGCACGGGAATTGGGAGCACAGTTCTTGCTCTGCCAGTCTCTTGTCGAGGTGCAGTGGTGGGGGGGCCCACGGGGCCCCGTTGCATGGAAGCGCAGTGAAGGGAGGGCCAGCACGGGGGAGGGCAGGAGAGAAAACTGGGGGGATATGTACATGGAGGTGCCGGCCAGCATTATTGCAGTAGGGGCTCTTGTTCCGGAGGCCCTGTCTTCTGTCCCGCACACGCACGCACAAACACACACACACACATACATCCCCCCTCCACCTCTCAGTGCAAGTGGACAATGGCTTGTATGAGTGGGGGGGCCCAGGAGGCCCCCTTAGCTCTGGGATGAAAGGAGATTGCTTGCTGATCAGTCCCTGAGGTACCAGAACTGCCTCCCCCTTTCGATGCCCCACGGAGTCCTGGGGGAGGCGCTACCACACTCCAACCTTTCGTACCTCAGGCGATGGGACCGACACACACGCGTACACGCACGCACACACAAAGTTACACATCCCGTCCCAGCCTGCGGGGGAACCCAGCGCTTGTGCAGATTTGGCCGGGACCCCAGATGAGGGTTGAGAGCGGGGCGGTAGGTGTGTGGAGGGGTGGGATTGTCCCTTTTCTCTTCTCAGAAAAAATAATTCCATTTCCAGTTTTAAAAAAAGAAAAAGAAAAACAAAAGAGAAGGTAAATCGCTCCCGTTGGATGAGGCTTGGACGCCGTGCGACGTTGCCGGGGTCGGTTGCTAGTTGCCGAGGGGGCGGTTCCAGTGGTGCCAGGAGTCCTGGGATTGTGGCAGGCAGGTGGGCGGACAGGCGGCATCAGTACGGCGAGAAGAGGATGGGTCCATGTGCAGTTCGGATGGGCCCCGGAGCTGGTCGCAGAAGCGGATGCGTCAGCGGTGGGCCCTGCAGCAGCGATGCCGTCGGGGCTGGTCGCAGTGTCAGGGGCGTGGAAGCAGCGGCTGCCATGGCTGCTGCTACAGCCAGAGGACTGGGCAGCAGCCCAGCTGCCAGTGACTTGGGAAGCTCCTTGGGGAAGGCCAGGGCGCCCTGTGGAGGCAGACAGAGACAGATGTGTAAGACACCCGAAGTAGAGGAATGAAACCCATGTTCACATTCCCATTCAGCTATGGGTTCAAACAGATGGGACAAAGATAATTCATTCATAAAAGGCGTGCGCAGCCTCGATTTGCACAGAAAAGAAAAGTGTGCTTAACCCTTCACCCTCCTCTCTGTTTCGTTATTTGAAACCCGGCCTCCCTATTTTATTATTAGCATTTTAAATGGAAAAACAGTACAACAGATGGAAAAACAGTACAACAAATGGAAAAACAAACAACAAAGCAGGGCGTCCAGTTTTGAATGATGAAACCAAATGGAGGCTGAAGGGTTAAATGCCCTCTCCCTTCCTCGTATGTCCTCGAGGTGAACAGAGACTGCACAAGACAGGCAATCTTCATCTTGCCTGTCTGAGCCCTATGAGGCACTGTCACTGGCCACAAACTAGGGGTGAAATGGAATTTTGAAAGAAAGTTCCAGCTATGATGAAACTCCACAAAAACAGCTGAAGCTGAAATTAGTGCTCAGACTCTGAAGTAGAAATTGGCCCCCCTGACAATTTTACATCTTATTCAGTTTTGTCACCGGGTCAAGGAGAGGACTGTTATCAAACACTGCTGCAAGTCAGCTAATAAAAGTGCCCCTACGTGGCAATGCCCCCACCGCTGATCCCAGCCAGGCGTCCAACTCACTGGCAGCTCTGCCATGCCTCGCTGCTTCTTGTGCCGACTCAACAAAGGGTTGGGCTTCCCAGCTACGCCATCCCGGTGCCGCCGGCTGGAAATGTGCTGCAAAACACAGAGGAAGAAACAGATGTTACACTCAAAAAAGAACCGAGGAACCCTGCCTCATCGAAGTGATTCCCCTCAAACTCCCTCCACTAGCCCCGATGCAGCCACTGTGGAAGAAGCCTGAAGTTCCTGCATGCTTATTAGCACAGCTATTGGGTATGGCAACATTTTGTAAAGGTCAAGTATGCTGTCAAGCTGCAACCAACTCATGGCCGCTCCACTTCATGGGGTTTCCAAGGCAAGAGATGAGTAGAGGTGGTCTGCCGTTGCCTTCCTTTGCGTAGCAACCCCGGTCTTCCTTGGTGGTCTCCCAGCCAAGTAATGACCCTGCTTAGCTTGCAAGATCTGATGAGACCAGGCTAGTCTGGGCTATTAGGGCTGCTACCACCTTTTTTACTTGCATACTTTATCTTTCGTGGGGATGACAGAGGGTAAAGTATGGAAGTAAATGCATACATGCATAGAAGCAAAAAACCCCACCATGGGACGCTTGGCCGTGAACACACAGAAAAACATGGAACTCCACCCATCAGAGCCAGGGGCAGCTCAAGGCATTTAACTACTCCAAGCACCCTCCTCCTGTGCTGCCCCAGCTAGGCTGAAGATGAGTTCTGGAAGCAGTGCCTCTGCCGTGGAGGCAGGAAGCAGCAGTCCAGGTGCGGGGGGGGGGCTACATGCTTCTTCCTAGGCCATGCCTGCTGATTTGGCACTATGACCAACTACTTAGGTCACTAGGGCATTTGAACCAGCCCCACTGAAAGGAACAGGAATTGGGCAAGGGCACCAGCGTGCCCAGTGCCTCAGTCCTGTCTCCCAATCGGCAATGGTAATGGAGCCCTGCCGTTGACATCGTAGGTGGCTGTCTCACCTCGCTGTACAATAGGGCCCCCTCTGTCCCAGTGACAAGAACAGCACTGGTTCTTAAATTTCTGAAATGGTACGGACTGGGACTCAAGATGTCCGGGCAGCTGTCTTCTTTGTGTGTGTGCGCGCGCACGCACACACACGTACGTGTCTGGATGTGTGTGTGCCTGGAAGATGGTTGACTTCTGGCGACCCCTACTGGGGCTAGGATGTTTCAGAGAGGGGGCCTGATATCACCTGCCTCTGTGTCCCACCTCTTGTATACCTTGAAGGTCTCCTGTCCAAGGACTTGCCATCGTTGGCCCTGCTTAGCTTCCGAGATCTGATGAGATCGGGCTTGCCTGGGCTATCCAGGTCAGGGCCTATCTTCTTTGTTGTGAGTGGTTCAGTGGCAGAGCCCCTGTTAGGCATGTGGAAGGTCCCGGGTTCAATTCCTTGCATTCCCATTTAAAAGGATCAAGTACTGGGTGATGGAATAAGACTTCTTCCTGAGACCCTGGAAGAGGCTGCTGGTCAGTATAGACAGTACTGACTTGGATATACTGATGGTCTGGACTGTATATAAGGCAGCTTCCTGTATTGATATATTTCCCTAATTGCAGAGAGGTAAGGCCTAGCTACTGTTACACAGTGCAGAAATAAACGCACCTTTTGCATGCTCATAGGCACTGAGTTTAGAATTTATTTCACATGTTCCATAGCTGAGTATAGAGAAAAACTAGTTTTGGGGGCTGAGCCCCAGTAAAAAGCGAGCCCCGACTACTCAGTACCCAAACAGACCCACACCCTAGTAGCAGGTGAAGTCTCCAAGAGGAAGACTAAGGCACCACCTCACAGCTGGCTCCAGTACCTGTTTGAGCTGAATCTCCGAGTTGACTTTGACATTGCAAATTTCACAGTGGAAGGTTCTCTCCTGAGCACTGGGGTCTTGGCTGCCTGGCTCCCCTCCAGCCGTGGGGCTGAGGCGTGGATATGCCTTGATAGGCCCCAACCCGCTGCGCGCTTCCAGGATAGTCTTGTGCTTTGTACCTAGGCAAAGAACACGATTTGGTCACCTTATGAGAAGACAAGAGTCACTAGAAAAGTCAACAATGCCTGGAAAAGTTGAAGGCAGCCAGAAGAGAAGACCCAACATGAGATGGCTTGACTCTATAAAGGAAGACAAGGCCCTTAGTTTGCAAGACCCGAGCAAGGCTGTTAATGATAGGACATTTTGCTTTTCTACTGGCAACTCTACATCAGGGGCTGCCCTCATTTAAACTCAGGAGACCACAGAATCTCAGTTTCTTAACGCCCCCGCCCCAACAGAAACAGTCTTCTCAAAGCAAACATGGGGTGAGGGGGAAAAAAAATAAACTTCAGGTGTCCACTTGACCTACAGCATTAACACAATCCTGCCTCGAAGTATGGGATCAATTTTCGCCTTGCTTTTTATGGACATGCTTTAAGGTCACCGTAAGATAGCCAAATGTCAATTTCAAGTCAATTGAACTCCTACTTCCAAGAGTAAAGAAACCTGGAAGCCCCACAAGCCGAAAGAAGTCAAGGGTGTGAAATTGATATGAAACAGAACCCACTTAACATTCTGGGCACTCTTTTGGCTGAAAATGCAGAGTGCTCTAGTCCTTGGGGTGTTCAGTGAAATTGGTAACACATGCCAAAGCCCATGAGCCTTAGTGGGAGTCCAGCGATTCAAACCAGGCTGGCTACGGAATAACAAACTAGGTGGCCTGCAGCAGCACAATCATTTAGTAAATCTGAACTAAAACCCAACTGGCTTGTGGTCAGAAATTTTGGAATGGTGCTTATGGGTACACGTGGAGATCTTAAGAAGTCAATGCAATACATACAAACATACATACATATGCCATCTCCAAAGCCTACGTTCAGAAATTTTGGAATGGTGCTTATGGGTACACGTGGCGATCTTAAGAAGTCAATGCAATACATACAATACAATACATACAAACATACATCTCCAAAGCCTACGTTCAGGAATCACATCATGTTAATTTAAACTGTAAAAGCTGCCACACACACACACACACACACACACACACACACACACACACACACACACAGAGAGAGAGAGAGAGAGAGAGAGAGAGAGAGAGAGAGAGAGAGAGAGAGAGAGAGAGAGAGAATTAAATGCTGACATGCTTGTATCTTTAGAATCAGTGTCCAGATCTTATGGGTAGGAACAGGCTTCCCTGAATCACTGGATACTTTCTACACCATTGTAGGTAAAAGATCTGGAGAATTACTTGGGGAAAAAAACAATCCCCCTCCCCAAAAATTCAGGGAAGATCCTGGAATATCCTTGTGGGGATCAGGCAGAACCCACCATGGCGGAAAACGTTTCAGAGTCAACGGGATTCACTGACTATAAGAAACCAACACACAAGAAGGAAGCACAAGGAAGAAGAAAAAGGAGGCCTTAAGAATGTTTCTGTGTTACAAATAAGGCAAGATGAAATGATCAGATGAATGGATGTAGGAGACTTAGGAGAATCATACACTGGACATCGAAGAAAGACTGTCCACATCTCGTGCTAAAACAACAACAACCCAAAATCAAAACTCTGAACAAAAGTATTCCAAATTAATGTCCAAAGAAAAGCCAAACGCTTCCACGGGTGCAAATGATGCAACAAACTAATTTTATACATACTGGCTTTCCCTGCATAATTTCTGCAGCTACTCACGGAGAGGGGACCTGGCTCCGTGGCAGAGCACCAGCTGTCTCTGCCAAAGGTCCCAGGCTCAGTTCCTGGCATCTGCTATAAAAAGGATCTCAAGTTGCTTGTACTGGGGAAGATCTTTCTCTGCCTGAGAGTATAGAGACTGCAGCTAGTCAGAGCAAACATTGTGGAGCTATGTGGGCCAAAGGTCTGACGGTACAAAGCAGCTTCAGATGTTCACTCATATGGGAAAAAGAGGCACCTAGGGCAGTAAAAGCCTTGCCAGCTACAAATCATGATTAGCCCAGCTTCTAAGATAATACCAGGCACAGCCCATGTACTTTCTACATATGCCTTTTCATCCAAGGAGGTCATGGTCACTTACGTGGTTTTGTCTCTCCCACTTTATCCTCACAACAGCCCTCTAGGTCGTGACCAGAGAGAGTAACTGGTTCAAGGCCACCCAATGAGCTGCATGGCAGAGACAGGATTTGTAGCCATGCCTCCATCCAGAACTGTAACTATTGAAGTAACCAGTGTTGCCTCTAAGCTGAGTTAGTGTGAGCTAGCGCACAGTTTTTTAGCCTCCGGTTCACACATTTTTGTCTTAGCTCAGGAAGGATGGCTCCAGAGCAAACTAATTTATGCAAGTAGCCAAATTGCTCACTCACAACTTTAATGCCAGTAGCTCACAAAGTACAATTTTTGCTCATAAGACTCCATAGCTTAGAGGGAACATAGGAAGTATCCCACGTTTTTTCCCAAGTGTACCTCTGCAGTCATGAGGACTAGAAACTTACTTTAAAAAAAAAGAAGAAATGAAAATAGAGATCTTCTTCATGCTAAATTACACAGTCAGTATCAATTTTAGCACACAGAATATGCCCATGCGCTGTTGTTCATCTACCAATCTTTGCGCAGATAGGTAGAGACAAATGCAACTAGATCCATATGCTCACCCCATCCTGCCCCACCTTGTAGAAGAAGAAGAAGAGAAGAAGAGATTGGATTTATACCTCGCCCTTCACTACCCAAAGGTGTCTCAGAGCGGCTTACAATCTCCTTTCCCTTCCCCTCCCCACAACAGACACCATGTGAGGTAGGTGGGGCTGAGAGAGCTCTTGACAGAAACTGCTCTTTTTCAAGAACAGCTCTTATCAGAACTACGGCTTGCCCAAGATCATCCAGCCAGGTGCAAGTGGAGGAGTGGGGAATCAAACCCGGTTATCCCAGATTAGAGTCCGTGCACTTGACCACTACACCAGACTGGCTTGTATTCTTCTTTAGTACAGAGGGGAGTTCTGATCCTTCCTCACCCTAGCTCCAAAATGATCCCTTAACTTTCAGTGTTTCTGGAAACATGCCCAAGATCTAGCACCGTGGTTAAGAGTGTAAGCTGTACCTCAGACTAAGTGGTTCTCCAGCATCCTCTCTTCTTTTACCCTTAGCTTAGTATCCTCTAAACAGTGAACTTGATGGTGCTGTGCTTAGCCACAGGGCAAAGAAGCAGTCGGCCCACTCACACATAAGAGGGTTTGTTTTTTTTGCATACTATGGAGACTCCTTGGGTATGCAGTAAATACTAGTTTGTTAATAAAAAGAATGAGAAGAAGAAACCCATTTGGGCACTCATCCAAAACTTACTCTAAGAGCACTGAGCATGCTCACTCTATGTCCCATGGAATGTTGAGGGCAGTTGAGCATCAGGTATTGGGGGGGATGAAAAATGGTCTGCTTGGTTTCGTATTTTCAGTTTGGTACTCTGGAAGGGGAGATTGGGATCAGCAGTTCCTGTTCCACTCCACACTGTAAAGAGCACTGACTACTTTCAACCAAAAGTTGGAGGTGGGATAACGAGGATCAGAGGGACTTTCATCCTAATTAAACATCCTCCCCCCCCCTTTACTCCTTAAACTGTAAAAGTGGAGAACCACCTAAAAGCTGATGACAGTATCCTATAATCAGGGAAAGGTAAAATAAGGGATGGGGAATCTATGCCGTGAGGCACATATTTTACCCTCAACCTCTCCCATTCAGCACAGCAAGAGAGAGGTAAAAATACCCGACTTAGGGCAAGATGAGCACTTTCACTCCTGTGGAGACTGAGGGCCAAGCTAGATGGTAGGCCTGATCAGGGGTCATTTCCTGTGGGAAGCGCACAGGAGCGGAGCTCCAGCAGTAAAGAGCCCAGGGGGCGGGCACATGCAACAAGCCCCGCCCCCTGCTCCCAGAAGCCCTCAATTGGGTCACGAGGAGCAAGAAGCAACCAGGTAAGTTGCAGAGCCCCCCCCCCTTCAGGTACAAGCTCTCCCTCCTCTGTAAGGGCAGATCTGCGCGTCCCCCCCCCAATAGCTAGCAATCCAAAACAGTCCAATGGAGCCTGAGTGGTAGGTGTTGCCTTCTGACACACTTCCGGTGATGTCAGGGGGTGTGGCATATGCAAATAAGTTACGCGAATGGGTTATGCTAATGAGCTCCTGCACCTCTTTTTCTACGAAATGACCCCTGGGCCTGATACATGTCAGGTCATGGCTGTGCCACTGGATTTGCAGGCAGACATGCATCAGGGGAACTCACCTTAACAAGTGCTTATTCGTTGCGCGCTGTGACGAGAGTAGAAGGAGCTTCAGTTTCCCTCCCAACCCTCTTTTGTCAGCAGAAGGGGAGATGGTGGAGTTGCCCCTTTTCTCTGGCTCCATGTGTCCTTCCTTGGGCATGTCGACCCAGAGAAAAGGGCCGAAAAGCCCACCTGCCTCCCTTTCTGCTGGGGAAAACGGGGTTGGAGGGAAACCCTCCACAGTGCTCCCTTGCAGCGCTGACAAATGAACACTTTTAAAGTTGAGTTCCCCCGGTGTATGTTTGACTGACAGTCCAGTTGCGTATCTGTGATGCAGTACGTGTCAGGCCGATAGGTGTAGTTGTGCCCTAAGGCTGCCTCTGGAACTCAAGGGCGTGGAGAGAGAATACAGGCTGAGGTATGGGAAGCAAAACGGAAGGGGAAACTCTGGCCTCTCCTAGCCCCAGTTTTACTGATGCCTGACAATGCTGGACCTCCCTTGTAGTTCCCTTCTGCTACTTGAGCTTCCTTCGCAGCTCTGCAGATGTTCTCTTGTTAGATGCTTATGCGAATGGACAGAAAATATAGGCTGAAGCAAGACAAGCAAAATGATGCAGAGAGGAGAGGAAAGTCTTGCTTCCAAAGAGGCGAGGGAGCCAGCTGGGCTTTACGGATCCCAGGCTTCAGTTCTGCTTCTCCAGGCCTGGAAAGCTGGTGGGAAGGAGGAATGCTGGCCCCACTGCCACCAGGGGCTCTGCAGCCACACCCGCAGGGCCTCTTGCTATGGTTTCCAGGGCTGCCAGGCCAAAGGTAAAGAGCATTCTGGGAAAATCTGATCCATACGCTCACCCCATGGGTCCTGTGGATATACAGAACACTTGGGCTGGTGAGGTTGGACTAGAATTACGATTACAACCTTTCTTCTGGCCGGGATCCTGCACCTTGAATAGCTGTATGAGGCAAAACAAATTCAACAGGGGAAGTGCCCCCCCCCAGTGCGCCTGCTCAAGAAAGCTGCTCCTGTTGGATTTCTGCCTGTTAAGAAGCTCATATGAGGAGTCGGAAGTGGGCCGTCTTAACTGCCTCCAAGATCAAGCAGAATACAGAAAAGCCACATTGGACAGGGTTTAAAGTAAAGGGGCAGATTAAGAGATGATCTTCACTCCCCATCCCTCGCTTTTTGGGTCTGGATTAGCCATGCTGCACAACCAAAAGGCTGCCCAGATTCTCACATCTGTTTGCTACTTCAAGGATCTTTGCACGCCTTCCTTGCTCTCCCTTTTATTCAGAATGCGGCTTACAATACAGTTCAGGGAAACAACGGTTTCATTTGCAGATACTTATGGTAATATATCCACACTTTGCACTTCAGTGATATTCAAGGGCTCTAAAGGCTTTTGCACAAAGCCACCCAGGCTATGAGAATTAGCTTATCAAGAAGGAGTAATGGCTCTGGGGACAGCTGTAAAGCATCTGCTGTAAAAGGACACTGGCTGCAAAGGAGTAAAGGAAATCTATTGCATCAGAGAATCTCTCAGCACCAAGATGCCTCTAAAGGTAAAAAATATGGGCTTAAGAAGTGGATCAGGACAGAGACCACATGAACAACGTGGACCTTAGTATATGTGCAGGGAGGATATCTGCCTGATCATGAAAAGTACTTCCCCCTACATCCAGAGGTGCCCCACTGTCTTTTGGACCAATGGTCATAGTTGGAGGAGATGGTGCCAGACTGCATAGGTTGGCGCAGATGGTGATGTACTGCATGGTTGGCATAGCTGCATATATGTTTGCCACACTGTGCTCCTCTCAGCATGGGACAGCCGAAGAAGTCGGGCAGGGAAAGATTAGGGCAGGGACACAGTAACACAAAGTTTCCTTGCTGTCTTCACTGAACCAAAGTCTCACACAGAGAGAGAGACAAATAGATAGACAGGCAGGCAGGCAGGCAGGGAGGCAGACAAGCAGAACTCAGCAAAACCGACCTCAGAGGGTTCTGATGAAGAGAAAATGGAGGAAGGGAGACTGTTGTAACCCACTTTGGGTCCCCCATTAGGCAGAAAAGTGGGGTATAAATGAATTCAGTAATTTAAGTTCCAAGCTGAGTGCGGCCAGAGGGAGCCTCTGGAGGAGGGATTTTGAAGCCCTTTGTAAGGAACTTCAGGCTTGGATCTCAGGCACGAAATAATATTGTGTGGATGTTGTACCGGATTTTGGGGTTGGGAAGGGGAGAGTGCAGAATGTGAAACTAGATGTAGCATCCAGCTTCTTGAAAATTCAATGTTCATTTATTTTTAAAGCAGTTTTCTAGCCCTTATGCCTGTGAACATGTATGGTTGAAATCTTAGAAGCCAGAAAAGTGGATAGATAAGGTTTCCAGAAGTTGAGGGGTGGGCGTCAGTGCCTTCAATAGCCCCCCTCCCCTTCAGCTAGTAAAACTGGGAACATGGAAGTGCATGTATGCAAATGTGCTCCAATTTGCATGTGTGTGGACGCGCGCATTGCCCCTTTACTTGGTGCAGATTCGGGCTGCCCTTCTTCTGACAGGCAGCAGCAAATAAGTCAACAAACTAACGTCTGCTCCAAACCCGTTCACCATTCAGCCACATAACAGATCATGTTAGTTTCATGATATCTTATCCTCTGCAAAGCATCGCCAGGAAGGGGACACTTTGCAGCAGAGAAGCAATGGAGGGAGGAGAAGGGAAGGGTTCCTGATCCTTCACCTGTCTGCTGGTTTCCCCCTAAGTAGAATGGGGGGAGGAAAGGTGACATGGTATAGCCTGATGTTGGAAGCTAAGCAGGGTCGGTACTTGGCAGGGAGACCGCGAAGCAAAGCTCTGCCACGGAAGGCAATGGGAAAGCACCTCCGCTTCTCACTTGCCTTGAAAGCCCCTTGCTGGGGTCGCCGTAAGTTGGCTGCAACTTAACAGCACGTTCCACACACAGAACAGGGTGAGAGCGTTTCAAGAGAAATCTGTCTGGCAGAGGAAGGATTGAGCAGCCCCTTCTCTCTCCCCCCCCACCTCGCAGCTTTTTTACTATAAAGTACTTCCACTCAAGTGCGTTTTGCATACAAGAAGGGTCTGTCCAAGTAAGCTAATGCATCATTTGGCTACAACAACATCCCCAGAGGAGGCTATCCGTTTCCCTTCAGGCCCAGCCATTCTCTTATTTTCGGTGAGAAACATACCTTTGTTGTGGGCCTCGAGTTGAGAGAGCGAGTTGACAGCCACCTTGCAAAGCGCGCAGTACAGCAGCTTCTTGGCCTTCTCCTCATCGGGCTTGGTGCTGCCGTTGCTGCTGGGCGCCGCTCCCGGAGTGGCCGGTGCCGCAACCGTCGTTGAGATCTCCCCTGCTTTGGTCCCCCAGGCTGGCCCGCTCTTGGAGCTCTGGCTGGGCTCGGGGCAGGGGGCGGCGTGGGGCGCCACCGCCGCCACGGGAGATGCCAGGCAGGGCTGCTGCTTGTCTGGAGAGCTGGCTACTGGCACGGGGGGCACCATCCCTGAGCCCCCGATGCCGTTGAGTTGCTCGGCTGCGTGAGAAAAAAGAGAGAGGGCCGTCAGGGTTGGAACTGAGGAGCAGGAGTCAGCGAGGTACCCGAGGTTAAAGTCCAATGGGTAAAATGAACAGTAGGGAGAGCTGTTTCAAGCGAAACATGCCAGGGGGGCACCCACTGCAACGTTCCCTCTAAGCTATGGAGTCTTGTGAGCAAAAATTCTACTTTGTGAGCTACTGGCATTAAAGTTGTGAGCAAGCGATTCGGCTACTGCGTAAATTAGTTTGCTCTGGAGCCCTCCTTCCTGAGCTGAGACGAAAATGTGTGAGCCAGAGGCTAAAAATCTGTGAGCTGGCTCACACTAACTCAGCTTAGAGGGAACACTGGCACCCAGTCTTTGAGCCAGTGCAGCAATAACCACCTGCCTCTGAGTACAAACATGGTGTGGTCAGTGCTCCCTCTAAGCTGTGGGGTCTCGTGAGCAAAAATTCTACTTTGCGAGCTACCGGCATGAAAGTTGTGAGCGAGTGATTTGGCGACTGCATAAATTGGTTGGCCCCGGAGCCATCCTTCCTGAGCTAAGGCAAAAATGTGTGAACTGGAGGCTAAAAAGCTGTGCGCTAGCTCCCACTAACAGAGGGAACACTGGGTGTGGAACCTTTCCTTACTTGAGAGGAGGAGTTTGAACTTTGCTGAAATAATAAGAAAAGTCAGGAGTGACAGGGAAAGGTCAGGCATCAAGAAGAAAGGGCACTTTACGAATGCCACTGTGGTGCAGTTGTTATAATACTGGACCAGGGCTTGGGCTTGCCCAGTCTTGAAAGCCAGGCAGTGTCGGCTCTAGTTAATGTTTGGATGGGAGGCCACCAAGGAATACCAGGATTGCTATGCAGAGGTAGGCAATGGGCTGGCAAACCACCTCTGAACGTCTCTTGCCTTGAAAACCCCACCAGGGGTCGCCATAAGTTGGCTGTGACTTCACAGCTAACAGACCAGGCAGATCCAAGTTCAAATCCAAACTCTGCTGTGAAGCTCACTGGGTAACCTTGAGGCAGTCACAAGCTCTCAGATGATCCTACATCACAGGGATGTTGTCAGAACAAAATGGGGGAGGGAAGATGTACATTATCCTGAAGTTCTTAAAGAAAGGCCAAGGGGACGCATGTGGTATTTTCAAGAAAGAAACAGCAGGTTGGGTAAGGGTTTAGTTAAAATATTTATACCCTGCCTTTCCCCAAATAGGGCTTACAACTAGGAAATCCTGCTGTAACCACAAGACATCAGCAATAACACATCAAATAATATACCCCATCCATTAATCGATGAAAAACTCAAATAATACAGAAAGCCCTGGAAGATGAAACAGCTTTGCACCTCTTCCAAAAGAGCCATAAAGACGGAAGCCCTCCAACTTCTGGGATGGGCACTTCTGGAAGGGGAAGAGGAAATAGCTTTGCACCTCTTCCAAAAGAGCCATAACTTCTGGGATGGGCACTTCTGGGATGGGCACTTCTGGCAGAGGAAGAGGAAACAATTCTGGAGGGATTCTCTACTGCAACTGCTCCCTCCACTTCCTGCATTAGTCTTGCAGGGAAAACACAGGCTTGGAAACCTTTCTGCTTCCCTCGTGACACCTAGTTTTGCCCTCACACTAGACAGAACCGAATGAAGCCCTTCCTATTTGGAGTCAGATGGACTGGACTTGGGTCTCTTGCACTCAAGGTTTTTAGCCCTGGCTTGGGAACCATTTTGTTCCTTTCCACCTCCTCCCCTGCAACACAGTGGTGCTTCCATGCACTTTCCGGTTTCCCCCTTTTCCTGCAACCTTTCCCAAACCTGCTTTGCAGCAACGCTTTGGGAAAGACTGAAGGAAGGCTGGCATGATACCCATAAGGACGGGACAGTTTGGATCTTCCTGTTTCCATCCACATCAGTACCATTTTCCTTGCCCCAGTCCCCTGTGGTGGCCATACTGCCACTGGAGGGCTGATTTATAGCATTATAACAACCTCTATATCTATATCTATATAGCAATTGCTGATTTATGGCATTATAACAACCTGGATATCAGGTCCTCGGAATCCCCCTGCTTTCATTTTAAACAAAATTATGCCTCTAGCCCCTTCATTGTGGAGATGTGCCTTTCCTTTATATCTCCACAACAAAAGGGGCTAGAAACTTGCATTTTATAACCATGGAAGCTGACCGTTATACGGACAGATTGTTAGCAGGCTACAATGATTTGTCAATTGCTGATTAACCCCCCCCCAAAGCCCCTGCTAGTGGTGACAGGAATGGCTGTTGTAGGGGGACTAAGGTAAAGGTTCCCTTGCTCGAAAGCCAGTGGAGTCTGACTCTAGGGTTGCGGTGCTCATCTCCGTTTCAAAGCCGAAGAGCCAGCGCTGTCCGAAGACATTTCCGTGGTCATGTGGCCGGCATGACTAAACACCAAGGCGCACGGAACGCTGTTACCTTCCCACTGAAGTGGTACCTATTTATCTACTTGCAATTTCTTGCTTTCGAACTGCTAGGTTGGCAGGTTCAGCAGGGAAACCTGTCATGTGGAAGCCTGGTTACTGCTGTGCTCTATCAGCAGCCACGGCACCAGTGGGGAAACTATGCAAGCCTGTCCCCATGTGAAAGAGTACTAGAGTGACCAGGCTATAACACCCCAAGCAGCCTTGAAGGTTTCTGAATGCCTCTGAGCCTGTTACCGTATTTCATCCTTATGAGGGTAAAATAAGAAAACCTTAATATATGCTGCTGTCCACTTCTTTTCCAAGAAAGGAACTGCTAGGTCCAAGCCTACCACCAAACCAGGTACCCTGATCTAGAACACACCCGTGGACACTTCCTTCTGCCTTGACAGGCCTGTGGGGATTCAAAAGCAAGGATGGGGAATGTCCAGACTGCCAATCTGGGTCTGACCAAAGGGTGTTTTCTTTGACTACAGCCAAACACCTGTCCCAACGGAATTCATAATAACCATACACAAAAACCCTGTGGCTGTTTCCCACCTCTCACCACACCAAAGGCAGCATTCCTAGCCACAGAGAGACCAGTCCTCTACAAGTAACTAATCTCTTGATTATTTTTTAACAAAAAGAACCACTTATACCAGTGGAAATCATATCTTGTGGCAATGAGTTCCACAGGTTACTTAAGTATTGCTTCACTAGCTCAGATATACTCTTGTTCTCAGGCAGAGGAAAAACAGTCTCTAATAAATGCACAATGGAGGGGGTGTGTGGAAATCAGGGCCCAGTATAGTCTGCATCTGCTTGCTGCTGGTCCACAAAGGCTTCTTTGGTTCTTATGCAGGCCAGGATCAGTGGATGCGCTACTCCACCTGGAGAATTGTCTCACCCCTCTTGAGAATTTTACAGAAAAAACAAAACAACCCTGTGATATGGCAGTCCCCATGTCACCTTTCTACACAAATGGATCACCAAAGCCGCCTCTTCTTTTGAAAACGACCAGTTCACAGAGACCTAATAGTTCTGTTCTGTTCTACTCAATGAAGACTGACCTCTCCAACAAAAACGTTTAATTCTGTGTTCTGCTCTATCCCCACAGCACGAGCAAGGAAATGTGCTGGCTGAAGCCGGGGAATGGAAACTCCCAGGCAAGAGATGGCCACTACTAATGCATTAATATCTCACTCCCCTTTTTTCAAAGCTGAGCTCTGGCATTCAAAGTAGGCTCCAGAGCTGAGCCCTGGCTTAAATTAAGCCTTGTCCATGGGGCAGGATTACTGAGACCTTTTCTTTTTGAAATCAGGAGAAGAGCAGGTGACGCAGCTTGCTAAAATTAAAAAATAAGATGCAGACTCCATGCCCAGGGGACCCTGGTTCTAAAACCGAGGACCCATCTGTATACACTGCACACAGGCGCTGTCTTGGCATAATGCATTCTGCTTCTCAGATTCAGCATTAATTTTTTTCCCAAGCAAATGGACATGGGGAAAAAATCTAAGATGAAATTGAAAAATAAAAAGTGAGGCTGGGCATCCAGGAAGGAATCCAAGCAGCCCTATCAAATGCTTAAACCATTCTAATTTAACCAATCGTCTGCCTTTTCACTAATGAATTGAGCAATGCTCAGTTATATTTAAATGCGATTGCAGAGGACCCACAACTCAACACCAAAGTCTTTTTGATATAGGGAAAGCATTTTATTCATTCTTTAAGGTATTTATGCCCTAAGAGTTGGCTCTAGCCGGCTTTAAGTCATGCCCCGTTCCTGTCCCTACTATAGCCCCCATCCCACATGGATTCTGTCTGTGTAAGTTCTGTGATCTTCATTTTGATGGTCAAAAAGAACCCCTCCTCCCTTTTCACCAGTGGAAAACTTGGTTTGATCCAACCCCACATTTCACAGTGGCTCAAAGCCGCTTAAAAACAGCACTGAGCACTGAACCACACAGTTAAAAGCCTACACGATAATGTACAAATAAACAGAACACCCCCCTTAGCCCTCTTTACCAACATCACATACAGCAGCAGCTCCCACCAAAAAGTCTTTTGAGTAAGGCAGCTTTCCATTGTCTCCTAGCCACAGTCAATATAGGAGGCCCTTCCAAGAGGTTGGTGCTATAGCCATGAAGGAAATGCCCCTGAGGTGTTGCTGATCTAACAATTAAGATACAGTACAGCCTAAAGAAAGCCCTGTGAAGCACAAGTTTGTAGCAGTAATGTTCATTGAGTGAGCATTCATAGGTAGGAGGAAAGGCTTCCTTTCTTACCTTAAGTCACCAGAACTACAGTAGCCTAAACTCAAAAAGATATTTGTCTTTAATGCATTGGCACACTGCTTAAAGTCAATTATAATGGGTCTCCATTAGGTCTGCAGTCCTAGGTAGGTCTATTCAGAATCCTATTCAATAGGGCTTTGCTTCTAGGAAAGCTCCAGAGGCATGTGGTCCGGCAACTTTTTTGAAGCTAAATACAACATGGTGCTTGTGGGTACCATGGCACCTGCCAACACCTTTTTGGAGCCTGCCAAGCGTATAGAAAGCGGTTGGGGCCAGATGGGCT